AGGGCAGAGAACCTTATAAATTCTCTTCCAGATGGACTGCAATTTTTTTTTCAATGCCGTGCAAAATTATCATTTTTGGATAACAAACCAAAGCCTGCCCAATTGGCTCCGGAAATTCTAAGCAACTTAAACAAAGCTTGCCAGATGGAGACTTCAACCACCAAGCTTAATTAGTTCTCCGATTTACTCAAGATGGGAGGTGCACGAATTATATCAATAAGATAGAGAAGCTAGGTCTGTATTCTATTTTCAGACAGTCTTCAGCCGTACCATCTATAAGAGGTAATTACAACTTAGCACAAGAGTATGAAGCAAAAGCAGATACTACTAACCAATTATAGTCTCTCACTGCAATTTTATATATGTTTACTCAGAAGTAAATCCCAGCATGCTCATAATGATTTACCGTATATACTGGAGTATAAATCAAGTTTTTCAGCCCTTTTTTAGGCTGAAAAAGCCTCCCTCGGCTTATACTCGAGTCAAAGCTATTTATCATTATACTCTGTTGTTGTTGTTGTTGTTGTTGTTGTTGTTACATTTATCATTTCACTCTGCCATTATTACTATTTATTTATTACTATTACATTTATTATTTATTCTATTATTGTTATTACATTTATTATTTTACTCTGCTATTATTGTTATTATTATTACATTTCCATTATTTTACTCTATTATTATTTTTAATACATTTATTATTTTACTCTCTTTATTAGTATTAGAAGGATACATACACACATTTACATTGAAGAAGGTTAGAATAATGGTTTAATTAGAGTAGGACAGTCTTATCTTAAATTACAGACTTATGTAGATATTCAAAAACATTTAACTTATGTTTGTTTGTTTACAGCTTTTACTGATGCTTCAATTAATGAAATGTTATTTGTATATATTTCTATTTTGAAATTTACCAGTAGCTGCTGAATTTCCCATCCTCAGCTTATACTCAAGTCAATTTGTTTTCCCAGTTTTTTGAAGTAAAATTAGGTACCTCAGCTTGTATTTGGGTCGGCTTATACTCGAGTAGATACGGTACTACCTGGTCAGCCTGTGCCACAATCTGTGATGGGACTAGAATTGTTACTCCTCCAAAATCAGAGGCACTCCTGTTGTTTTTCAAGTGTAATTTCCTAATTTTTCCTCAAGTGTAATGATGCAACATGAGAAGTGTCACACTGTAAATTTGATGCTTAAAATTTAATTATATGGAACATCATAGAAGAAATCCATTGAGACATATATCTTCTGTGTAGAGGCATGGAGTACACACCATTTATTTATATGCTTTATTCTTACAACACCTTTATAGGCTACCATACCTTATAAAGCTATTGGGACAATAAGGCCAAGGCCACCAAGACACTGAGGTTCCTGCAAACCTAGCTTCCTTCCAAACAACGGCAGAAATAAATTATGAATTTCTGAGACTTGAACTTTTTCTTCTTGTCCTACCACAACACTTCTGTAAAAGTCTTTGATACTTTTTTATTGTAGCCAAATATGGCTGTACCTCAAGTGCCATAAGACAATCTTCAGTTAAACTTACAGCTTAGGTATGAAACCTCAATCACTCCCTTAGATCAATGATTAGGTATGAAACCTCAATCATTCAGCTTAGGTATGAAACCTCAATCATTCCGTTAGATCAATGGTTCTCCAATGCTAGTGTGTAAAGCTCTAGTCAGCCACAGAATTAGTCTAGATGTGCTGTGGGGTTTTCAAGACAACTGATAAGCATTTACTCTTCCACAATGCTCCTGGACTCCTGCAGGAATAGCAGGACATCTCCTATTGATTCTGTCTGCAATGGATTACCCACTCAACTGTGGTCCTTTGACATGCTAATGGTAACCTTATGCACCTTGCATTTTTCCTACTTCCAGGCCACCAGCAAGGGTCCACGACCTAAGGTCAAGGATCAGCCACTGGTCTTCTGTCCCTTCTCTTTACACAAAGTCCCCATCCCCCAAATGGTTAAAATACACTGTGAACGATTAGAAGGACACTTGTAAATATACACATGACTTTCTTTTTAAATCACTAAGCTTTTCCTCTCTCTTGATGGGATGCAAAATAGCTTTTGTATCCAAGACACTCAACATGCCTGTTACTGAATGCAATCACAGAAGATGATTGGTTGAAAAGCATCCTTGCTCCAAGACTCCCTGTTCTCTCCTCTCTCGCCCTTTGTTCCTCTTCTCCATACTGAGAAAGTCTGATGCTTTCCCTAACTAGCTAAGCAAGTGACCTTGTCACGAATGGGCAAAGGGGAACTTTGGTTTTCAGGCACAGCGCTCTTGAGACAGGATTAACACTCTGCCTGCCAGGAAAAGGCTTCAGGCCCCCAGCGCCGGCATGGAATTGGAGACAGACAAGGCTCACCAGAGTGAGGTAATGTCTGGAAAAAACAGAGTGGGAGCTCCTTGACAGATAGCATCGCTTGAAGATAGTCGTTAGAAAAACAAGAAAGATCAGGGAGGATGGAGATCCAACTCAAGGGCTAATGAAATTCATACCTAGAACAAATGAGGCATCCATTCTCCAAGCAAAAGGAGAACAGAAAACAGATCAGCTGGATTTTGTGTGATGATATGTTTTGTGCTTATTTGGATAGAAAGCAAACTCCCATGCCAAAGGATGGACGAAACACAAAGTTGAGGGGAGAAAGATGGATCTCTATCAGTGGAAGAAACCCAATGAGAGAATGCAAATATCACCTGGAAATTGAGATAAGCTTAAAGAGACCCTTTTAAAAAAATCTTCTCTGTTATAGCCACTACTGGCTGTTTAGCTTTGATCTGGACACTAAATTAATTTTGCATGAGGGTAAAGAGCACAACTCCAGGTAGGTCTAGCCTTGGACACCTGCACTACTAGGGTCTAATGAGGGATTGGAAATGGGGACAATTTGGGGACAAAAACATAGTATATAAAGCCAGGAAACGTTAAGGGATGAGAAGTAAGTGGAGATTTGGGACAGGAGTAACAGGAAAAAATCATAAGGGACAGGAAAGAAACATTAACAACCTTAGATATGCAGATGATACCACTTTGATGCAAAAGCAAGGAGGACTTGAGGAGCCTTCTAACCAAGGTGAAAGTGCAAAAGCTGGGTTTCAGTTAAGCATTTTAAAAAAAACAAGATTATGGCAACTAGACTGACTGATAACTGGCAAATAGAGGGAGAAAACATGAAGGCCCTGACAGACTTCGTATTTCTAGGTGCAAAGATTACTGCAGACGCAGATTGCAGCCAGGAAATCAGAAGATGTTTACTTCTTGGGAGGAGAGCAATGACCAATCTCAATAAAATAGTGAAGAGTAGAGACATCACGCTGGCAACGAAGGTCCACATAGTTAAAGCAATGGTATTCCCTGTAGTAACCTATGGACACGAGAGCTGAATCATAAGGAAGGCTGAGTGAAGGAAGATAGATGCCTTTGAACTGAGGTGCTGGAGGAATATCTTGAGAGTACCTTGGAATGTAAGAAGATCAAACCAGTCCATATTACAGGAAATAAAGCCCGGCTGCTCATTGGAGGGAAGGATAGTAGAGGCAAAGATGAAGTACTTTGGCCACATAATGAAAAGACAGGAAAGCTTGGAGAAGACAACAATGCAGGGGGAAATGGAAGGAAAAAGGAAGAGGGACAGACCAAGGGTAAGATGGATGGATGGTATCCTTGAAGTGACTAGCTTGACTTTGAAGGAACTGGAGGTGGGCACGGCCGATAGGGAGCTCTTGCATGGGCTGGTCCATGAGGTCATGAAGAGTTGGAAGCGACTGAATGAATAAACAATAAGGAAAGAAAAACTTCTCTTAAACAACTTGCCCCTAAAGCACACATAAGCATATACAGAGACATCATTTTTATTTTCAGCATTGGTTAATGCACAAAATTCCAGTTTCACACACACTTATCCCCAAGAGAAAAAGTCAAAGTCAGGAGGATAAAAGTGGCGTGCTTGTACAGAACGGCAGCTAGTTAAAACAAATTAAAATAGGAGGGAACTGAGAATTTTCAGAAAGAGGAGTTTAAAAGGGAGGAGGGGGGATCTCATAAGGATCCAAACTGGGAATAATAGTGTTTTAATATTCCTGAAAAGGATTTGCAACTTTTAAGGAGAACAATGTCACAGAGATACGGTGTGAATTGGTTGGATACTCAAGGAGGGATAGAAAATCTTAAGGACACGTATTGGATGTACTCCTCCACCAATGAAAATACCAAAAATTATGTATCAGACGCAATTAGTATGGGGATGAAAAATAGAGAATTAAACCTATTACAGTTCCAACATATGACCTGCACAAATTTCCTTGATGTCCTTCAAGGGAAATACCTAATATTTCTGCTTACTCTCTTCTGCCACACTTACACAGACACTGAAGGACCAATCTCATGGTGGAGAATCAAACTGAAGTGTAAAATTCAATTTCCGCTCTCAGCTTGCAAAACACAGCTTCTCCATTGAGTAGGACAAACATTCCTATATGAGCAAAGGGCATAAGGGGGAGAGGAGCCAAATCAAGAAACCTTCCCTTGTCTCCTCTGGCTTCCTGAAAGCATTGATAAGTCTGGGGAAGAGAATATCTGATACAAACTACCAACATTTTAGGTATGTGGCTTTCATTGTGTCAACAAAACCAATGGCTCAGGATTGTCAGTAGCTTAATGGTCAGCTTCCGACCATTAGGTACAGGTGTGTTTCAGGAGGGGAAAAACTATACTTCCTTTTTCCAAGAACCTTTATGAAACTGGAAAGTATCACCATTGCTGAGGGGAGGAAACAAACATATTGAAACTTCTGCATATTCACTGAAGTTTTGTAATATCTGCCGCAGAACTGAGGGCTAGACAGTCTCAAAAGGTGGCCAGCTTGGTCTCACTGCTCTGGAAGCTGTCAGACCAAGTTGGTCACCTTTTGAGACTCCGTCTGGCCCACCGTTCTGTGGCAGAAATTGCAAAACAGACTGTGTGATGTTACGTACCTGCTACCGGGATGTCCAGCTTTGCTCGTTTCAGCTCTGCCATGGAGCTATGGAGCTGATCTATTACGAAGTCATCTTCAAAGAAGAAATCTTTGGCAAGAGTCTCCTGAAGAAATTCTACAAGTTCTTCCATTTGCAATTTCATCAGGTGTTCTAGGACGGAAAAAGAGAAGACAACCTCACAAAAACTAGGGAAGCAAGCAATAATGTAGCTATTTTTTTCTAAAGGAACCAAAGTTCACCTTTAAAAATATACTGACATTAATTCAGATATATTCATTGACTATGTCTATATCACACTTTTTTCTCCAGTAAGCTCAAAGTGGCATCCATCTCTCTCTACCTTTCCCCTTGATATTAAGCCTAGTCGTGTCTGACTCGAGGGGGTGGAGCTCATCTCTATTTCTAAGCCAAAGAGCCAGCATTGTCCATAGACACCTCCTAGACCATGCCGCCAGCATGACTATTGATTTCCTCACATTTCCATGTTTTCAAACTGCTAGGTTGGCAGGAGCTGGGCTAACAGCGGGAGCTCACCCCGCACCCCGGATTCAAACCGCCAACCTTTCAGTAAGTTCAGCAGCTCAGCGGTGTAACCTGCTGAACTGGGGGCCCTTCACTTTACTTACTTTACTTACACAATATATCTGACAAGAAAGGTAGGCTGACAGAAAATGAATGCCCCAGGATTGCTCATTTAGTTTCATGACTCAAGGAGGGAGTAAAATCTAAATCTTTCCGGTACAAAATTATAACTACTACAACTCTACTGTCCCTTTAATCATGTAACTTGTACGCAAGTACTTTAAAAAGCAGGATCTCTCAAGCCAAAATGAGATGGAAGAAAACACTATTGTTTTCTGAATATCCAACATCTTAAAATGTTTCCCTTCGATGACCAACAACATCATGCAGCAATGCATCATTTAAAAGGCCAAGGCTGAGCTCTTACTTCTGTGCATTTTCAGAATGGTGTAAGACATCGCAGTGAGAACCCGTTCTCCTTCAAGTATGTAGATATCCCAGATCCTGAGGGTTAACCTAAAGGGAGTCTGCAACAAGAGAACCATTTGATTGTATGAGAAACAAACTACTCAATTTTTGCAACAAAATGTGTGTTTGGAGAGGGTCACCGGTGGGGGGGGGGGGTGTCAAACCGAGAGCACTCACACGGTCAAGAAAGCACTGGAAAAACCACTTCATTGTGTAAAAGCTAGTGTGGATCTCCTGGGAGTCCTGCCAAAGAAGAAACAGTTTATGAACCTCAAGTAATAACGATGTCTCATGCCATCTGAAAGCCAAGAAATTGTTAACTCAGCACTAGAGGACAATGTAAATGTACATCTGATCTCATAGGAATTGTAACTTCCACAGTCCATACAAACAAGCCCACCTTGTGATGCCTACAATGGAAATTAGGAAAGAGAAGCCTACAATGATGCCTACAATGGAAACTAGGAAAGAGAACTACATCCCACTTGGTCCTGGAAGATCAGCAGTGTGGCCTATGAGCCACATACAACTCCCTCATTCTCCATTTTGAAAATATTTCAAAATATTCATCCCATCACCCAGGATCCCTCAGGAGTCAAAATGTCCCCAAAGGATCTCTATGGATGTGTAGGGCAATGGGTTCCCATGTCTATGCAAGAATTTGAATCCTCGTCTCCTGGCATTCTATTCCAACATACAAGCCACTCTATTATGCTGGTTCTTACCCTAGGCTTTTGAATCTACTTAAATCCACTTAAATCTATCACCTAGGTACTTACATCTCATAGACTCTCTTAGGCTTTCAAGCCTATCTGTTAAATTAATCACTTTGGCTTTTAAATCTGTTCAAAAATATGTTCACGCTCTTTATTTATCTTGTAATATTTTTTCATAACCAACCTAGATATTCCACTAAAGAGTGGCATCTACTTTTTTCAAATAAATAAATAAACTATACAAAGATGAACTCCAGTTTAAAAATAAAATATATTGATAGTTTTGACAACTGCAAAATATAGCCATATCCTGATTACTTTTAATATGTATTACAAGCAGCCATACAGAACAAGCAGCCCACGGTGGCACAATGGGTTTAACCCTTGTGCCGGCAGGATTGCTGACCGAAATGTCCACCTTTCGAATCTGGGGAGCGGGGTGAGCTCTCGTCTGACAGCTCCAGCTTCCCATGTGGAGCCATGAGAGATGCCTTATAGGATCTCTCCAGGCATCCTTGGGCAACATCCTTGCAGAAGGCTAATTCCCTCACACCAGAAGCAACTTGCAGTTTCTTAAGTCGCTCCTGACACACACAAAAAAGCCACACAGAATCCTCAAATATCTACATTAGAAAACACAGTACATGAAAGCAGGACATGTTTGCAACTTGTGCCCTAAAAGATCAGACTAATCCAAAATGAAAGCAATAAACAACAATTCCCTATATCCTAAACCTTATACAGAATGCTCCAAGAACTAAAGACACAATTTCTAGTACAAAAGTGTCATTTGCCCACAAATAATTCTCTTTGTCGAGTTCACGTCTTAGCATATACTTACAAAATGCTGTTTAAGTTTAGACAAAAATTTCTTCATTATTTTTTCATGATGCTCTTGAAACCTCAACAGCTTGGGAAAACCAGGAATAAAAAAACCTAAAGCACATGAGAGAGAGAGAGAGAGAGCAATGAAATGCCAACAGAATCCCACAAAATACACTCAGAGCATCTGGAACTTGATAGCTTTCCAATGAGCCAAATCCCCAAATGGTAAAACAGATTGAATATACTGCAGAATGAACTTAACATGAGTTAAAAGAGCCTATTTCATCAGGTGTATGAAAGCTGGTTAAATGTTAAACCATGGCTTGGCATTTCCATAAAGAAGATACGAAATCCAGATCAGAAAACTCCAGTGCATCCTAATGTGCTCTTTCACCGCAATCTGCAAGCTATATTTTGTAAGTACAGATTTCTAATCTCTACATGAAGGAGAAAGGGAAATAATTATATCTGGGTTCATCTTTTAACGTTAAACAGAGATGAACAATTTAAAAAGTTTTAGAGCTAATTTTGCAGGCCCTCTAGGATCCCACTGCTGATTGGCCCACCTTAGCCACTATAATTCAGCAAAAAATGGAAGTGGTTTTTCTCAATTTCCAGTTCCAAAAACACTGGTTTCACTTTACATTGTCATCTACCTTACTAAACCACTTTATCCTTTAACTAGTTCACGTAGTGGTTTTCCTCCCCCCCCCCCTTCCAAAATTAGTCTGTTGTTATTGTCATTGCTAGCTATTTTTGTTATGCTGTTTTAATGCTGTTTTAATTGTTATTGCTTTATTTTAATTGTATTCTGCCTGGGCTTGGGCCCCATGTAAGCCGTCCCGAGTCCCTTCGGGGAGATGGAGGCGGGGTAGAAAAATAAAGTCCTCCTCCTCCTCCTTCTTTACAGGAGAAATATAATTTCCACGGGCATGGCTCCCTCGTAAAACAAAAGGCTCATGTTTTGCACCTGCCATACTGCTGAAATTTGGTGGCAAAAAGTCTGGGAACTTCAAAAATGCCTGAAAAGAGGCCAGGGGGTGTTGCCAATACCTTAGTTTAATCACATTGATAATAATAAAGGAAAACACTGTTCCATGTAGACAATGGACTGAAAATAATGCTGTTAGAAATATGTTTACAAGTTTACACTATCAATTTTGGATCTCTCTATAGCAGTGGTTCCCAACCTGTGGTCTGTGGACCACCCGTGGTCCACAAGAATTAAAATATGGTCCGTAACCCCATTACTAACAGCAGCCATGTTACTAACAGGAGCGGGACGCAGGGAGCACACAACGCCCTTGTTGTTCCAGCTCCACTGGCTGCCGATCTGCTACCGGGCCCAATTCAAGGTGCTGGTGTTGGCCTACAAAGCCCTAAACGGTTCCGGCCCAAAATACCTGTCTGACCGCATCTCGGCCTATGAGCCCACGAGGACTTTGAGATCGTCTGGGGAGGCCCTTCTCTCGATCCCGCCTGCCTCACAGGCACGTCTGGCGGGGACGAGAGATAGGGCCTTCTCGGTGGTGGCCCCCCGGCTGTGGAACGCCCTCCCTGTAGACATCAGACAGGCGCCCTCCCTTATGACATTCCGCAAGAGACTAAAGACGTGGTTGTTTGAGAAGGCGTTTGACTAAGTGCTACAACAATTGGCAATGATGATTGGAACGGAATATGGATAACGAGATTGGATTGTGATTCTATGATGAGACGTCGCGAATGATTTAGTGTAATTGTATTATTGATAGTGATGTTGTTATTGTTGTTTGTGATATTGCCTTTATTGTAAATTGTTTATATGTTGTACACCGCCGTGAGTCGCCCTAGGGCTGAGAACGGCAGTCTACAAGTGCAGTAAATAAATAAATAAATAAATAAATAAATAAATACTACACCATTGCAACAACAGCGTGTGGTCTCACAAAATCCTCTTATAGTGCAGAGGCTTATTAAATAGGGTTTTCTGTGGGTGAGCAGATGGTAACTACTGGATGGCATATGTTCTGTATCAGAAACTAGAGCTGATGTGGTCTATCCAATGCAATCTTCTAAATCAGCACCCCAAATAACCACACTGAATCTAAAGTTGACCAAAAACTGATTCGTAACCCTTTTGGTACTGATGTGGCACCTGGTCAAGTGGTCCTTGGTCAAAAAAAGGTTGGGAACCACTGCTCTATAAGCACTGGAAATATACTTTTTACTGGATTTTACTTCTAAGAGTGGATTCAAATTCAGACAAATTCACACTATTCCTTGCAGCCCCTTGAAATTGCTGTGCCAGTCGGCTTTCTCCCCACAGGTCACCTGCTGGGTTAACATGCTTTTCGCATCATAACAATGTCCCTCTAAGAAGAGGTTCAGTAGGCTAATTTACTGTATATGATTTAAAAGCAATATTTGATGCAGATTTCTTTAAAGGGCATTCATTTACATCATATTAATTGCTGCAAATGCCACAATCTGAGATACTATGACTCCAGTTCTGAAGAGTAATACTCAGTTGGATCGATATTAAATGGCATTTTAAAAAAGATTTCAGAAGTGGCATACCATGCATAGCATGCTTGGGTCCTGACAGCAGTTTCACCAGGGCCCAGAAGGCATCTTCTTCATTCATATACATAAGGAGCAAAGCAGTGATGTGGCTCATTCCCTGACAATAGCCAACCTCCTGAGAAAAAAGAGATAAACAAAGGAAATATACTTTAGAAGTTTGCAAGAACCTCATACAAATAAAATGACCACACTGAGCTTCCTTGCACAAACAGAAACTGTTGTGGTCAATCCAGAAATCATCTAAAGAATTGCATACTTGAGTTTCCCTTCCCTGGCTGCCTAAATGAGAGAAGAGAAGAGAAGTGAACAAAAAAGGTAGTTGTTACAAGTGTCATCCTTGTAGGAAGAGCTACAATACAGTTAGCCCCTCATATTTGCAAGTCTGACTCTTGTGACTTTTAATTATTCATAGATTGGGTTAAAATGTTATTTCTCAGAAACTCTAAGTCTTCCAGTGCAATTTTATGGTCAGCTTTCAGTGGAACATAACCATAGAATCATGCTGACCTGCAAATTTCTAAGGAGGTGTTTTCAGGTTTAAAAAATAGCTAATTTTATTTATGGTGTTTCACTTTCACAAAGTTTGTGTGCCCCTAATCATGGTGAATGTGGAGGGCTGAGTGTACTCAGCTTCAAACTTATGCCCTCCAAGTTTGAGAGCTTCAAAAATTTGAGTGGGAATCTGTGGGAAACTAGTGTGGCCCCAAATGTCCCCTTCGGGGGGGGGGGGGTACAGAGGGGCATTTTTGCCATACGTTTAGGTCCAAGAGAGGATTTTTCTCCCAGCAAAACAGGAAGTGAGCAAAAGTCACATCTAATTGACTCTTCCTGGACCCTAAAATAATCAAATCCACAAAAGTCAAACCTGTAAATGTGGAGAGCCAACTGTAATAACTCTCTATTCCAGTATCCTACCTCTTTTTACATACTAAATAAACTTAATAATAAACCTTATTTATATCCTGACACCATCTCCCCGAAGGGACTCAGGGTGGCTCATAAAAGCACTCAACAGTGCAAACATATAAAATACATCAAAGTACCTAGGCAAAGAAACACAATAACAATAAAGTCCACATAAACAAACAAATCACATAAAACATCCTGTAAAACCCTCTGACTTAAAAGATTCAATAAAATGCAGCAGTGACTGCACATATAAAATTAAACTGTAATTAATATCAACCCCGTAAAGTGCTAGGGTGAAAGAAATCACGAAGTCCTCAAATGTAGTAGATAAGGTTCTAAACATGGTCGAAGACCTGTTTGAAACCTCCTCCCTATATTTCTTTGCCAAATCTTGGTTGAGGGAAAGTTTTGTAGATACTGTGATTCCAGCCTACCCCAACTTTCTAATCTTCACAGTTTCAGACAAAAATATATCCACCAAAAATTGTTCAGGCAATTTGGTCAAGAATTAGCAACTCCTTATTTTACAATTGCTAGGTGAAATAGGAAATATCCCAGCTGCAGAATCCTTTTTCACCCTTTAGAATTTATGCTTCTTTATATACAATTACAATGAGTAAACATATGTCTCTATGCACGTACACACAATGACTTACCGTATTATACACAGAATATGCAGCTAAAACATGGAATAGAGATTGCTGCCTGGAGAAGAGATAGAAAGCAGAGGAAATCTGGTAAAAACATAATTTTAAATTAACACCACCCCAAACACAGTCTACCCCCACAGATTATGGATACTAGGATTTAGATGGGAGACAACTAGGAAATACCACATTTACATTTTTTATAAAGGGCTAGGAAAACCTCTGCAAAAAGCCTAGACTATTACTGCAGTCAGAGCTAAATACTGTATGGAAAAGTGGTCTGATTTAGTACAGGGGAAGAGAAACAAAGAAAGTTAAGAGAGTGGGTTGTTGTAGGTTCTTTGGGCTATATGGCCATGTTCTAGAAGCATTCTCTCCTGATGTTTTGCCTACACTTACAGCAGACATCCTCAGAGGTTGTGAGATCAGACCTCACAATCTCTGAAGATGCCTGCCATAGATGCAGGCGAAATGTCAGGAGAGAATGCTTCTAGAGCATGGTCATATAGCCCGAAAAAACTAAAGCAAGCCAGTGATTCTGGCTATGAAAGCCTTCGACAATACAAAGTTAAGAGAGAGCCTATATTGTGTTAAACTAATTTCAATTTCATGTGAAGACTTATGTCAAAAATAAGACAACAGAAGACAACAGGAAAACACAGGTGAAGTCAACTGCAACAGTCTAATACAAATATATTATTTGTATTTAACATGTCCTAGAGATTGGTCAGTTTGGTTGCCTTTGCAGTTTAACAGCACCTGTGGATTGCTTTTACAACATAGCGCTTGATTTAAAATAACCTGGGGTGGATGAGCCTAATGAGGCATTTTATTGCACAATCTTGTGCTTGCCTTCAAAGGAAAAGCAGGTCCCGAATTTCAGTGTTTTACATAATAAGGAACTCTGTAAAGACACACTTTATGGTCACAAGGTTTGTGCACTTCGCCAGTGAGTCTACAGAGATTCCACTGTGCATAAAAAGCAGATATTATAGAAGGGTTCTGCACAAAGGAGGAATCTGTACTTATTTTACAAGTGGAATCTCCAACAAATTCTTACAGCATAGAATGTTGCTAGTCTGGTTGTCAGGCAATCCACTCTATTCTTTCTTCATTTCTTATTCACATTAACCATTCATTTCAACAACACTGAATACAACATTTAATGAAGATGTTCAATTAAACACCATGGTGAATGTTCTTATTTCATGTTGAAATCAGAACCACTGTGAATGCCCTGAGTCCTCTTCGGGGTTGAGAAGGGCGGTATACAATACCACAAATAATAAATAAATAAATAACGTTTTAAATGTCCTTTTTTCATATAGTGAATTTTCTTATTGATTTTATGTTTAATTATATGGTATTGATCTGTGATTTAGTTTACGCATGTAAGGCATTGGATTTTGCCATTATTTCTGTGTAAACCACTTTGAGTTCCCTCAGGGGTGAGAAAAGCAGCATATAAATACTGTAAATAAATAACAAATAAACACATTCTCTTTTGATAAGGGCAGGAAACCTCTAGCACCCAAGATGTTGGTCTCCAATCTTCATCAGTCCCAGTCATCATATGGCTTATGGTCAGAGATAATGGAAAAGGTTGCCCAATAAAATCTGGAGGGCCTTCTGGAAAATGGGAAAGGGTTTAGCAAGGGAAATATATTCACCCTGCTTTAAATCACACCACTTTAAAAATTATTTATTTATTTTGTTGTTCATTTGTTCAGTTGTTTCCAACTCTTCGTGACTTTATGGATCAGTCCACGCCAGAGCTCCCTGTATTTATTTATTTACAGTATTTATATTCTACCCTTCTCACCCCGAAGGGGACTCAGGGCAGATCACAGAATACATATATGGCAACATTCAATGCCGTTATACACTGACAGGACAAACATAGTACACAGATAGAGGTATATAGGCTTTCCCCATCTTTGGTATCTTGGAGGTTGTGCTCGATTCCAGCCATGAGAGGGCGCTGTCGCTCCATCTTCCATGCCGAAGAGCCCTGTTCACAGACTTCCTCCTTTTGATTGAATCGCTGGCATTTTTCTGGTATTTTCTTACAGTGCCATTAAAATACCTCCCTTTTTATCTACTCACGGCTGTTTTCAATCTGCTAGGTGGGCACTGAGAGAGGCTGAAGGTCAGGCGCACACACCCAACCAGGCTTCGAACTGCCAACCTTTTAACTGGCAAGATTTATCGCACTGGTGGTTAACCTGCTGTGCTACAACCTGGCTTTACATCTCTTGCCAGATTATCCTCCACTTATATTTCTTCTATAAGGAAATGCAAAATTTAAACTTCCAGTGGCAGTATCATAGCCAATGAGGTTAATCCGAGGCATGATTGTTAATCATTGAAACTTCCATGATTTTATTTGGAATTGCAGAATCAAAGTAGTTTCCATGTAGAATCTAGGGACACAAAAACTGCATATACTGATAAAAAATGAATATTGTTTTTAGAATTCAGGGGTTTTAAGAACGCAGAACTCTGCCACACTTTATATCTTTAGATATTCAGAAAATCTGAAGTTATGCAAAACTAGAAACCAAACAAACAGGATAGTTTTTATTTTACTTACTTAACTCCGTATCTGTCTCTGAACATGATATGATCCCGATACGTCCGATTCACATCAAGATCAATCTGTCTGATGTCTGGAGAGCTCCCTCTTGCTTGGGTTTTTAAGGTCTAGGTAGGCGAGAGAATGAGTAAATAAGTGCATCCTTCATAACCTTGCAATGTTGCAGAAGACTTAACATCAGGCATTGCCCTTCTAGTGAACATCTCCAGCTATTGGTGACTACACCTCCAGTAAGTTCCATCAAGAATGGACAGAGGTACTGGAATCAGAACATCTGGAAAGCAAAAATAAAAGACAGCTGTTCCCAACAGTGGCATTAGCTTACTGGGAGAAAACATCATCCCTATGAAAGTATGGCTACCAGACAGAAAGTGGGTTCTTCAACAAGCTGCAGTCCAAATGGTTTCTCCAAGTTGTTAATTACAAAATGACACAGGTGTTTGGACTTTCAAGCGAGCCACTCAAGCTCACCTTCCAGAGAAGGGCAACTAAAATGATCAAGGGTCTGGAGAACAAGCCCTATGAGGAACAGATTGAAGAATAGAGCATGTTTAGCCTGCAGAAGAGAAGGCTGAGACGAGACATGATAGCCATGTATAAATATGTGAGGGACAGTCAGAGAGAGGAGAGAGCAAGCTTGTTTTCTGCTGCCCTGGAGACTAAGATGCAGAAAAATGGCTTCAAACTACATCTGAACATTAGAACGAACTTCCTGTCTGTGACAGCTGTTCAGCAGTGGAACTCTCTGCCCAGAGTGTGGTGAAGGCTCCTTCTTTGGAGGCTTTTAAACAGAGGCTGAATGGGCATCTGTCAGGGGTGTTTTGAATGAGATTTTCCTGCTTCTTTGCAGGAGTTTGGACTGGATGGTCCATGAGGTCTCTTCCAACTCTATGATTATGTGTCTTGTCCCTGGCCCAGCCTTACTGCCGTGATACTCAAGCTAAATTTACTCAATGACAGCAAAAGCACAAGTTCTCTAACCTGCACAATTCAAAAGGCTTCTGCATACAACTCAATTCCCTTCTAGCATTCCATACACACACACACACACACATTTTCTCCAAAAGAACATTTCAGCCTTTGTAATGCTTCATATTAGATTTCAAATGTTATTACGCGGCACATCAAGAATTCTATAAATGCTATTGCTGGGAGCATCAGATCACCTCTCTGAACAATTTCAAGATAAAAAATAACCTAAACCTCATTTCAGAATAAAGGGAATTGGCTTTTATATGCCCTGGTAGTGCAGGTTGGCTTTCTTTTCTTTTCTTTTCCACTCTCTCTCTCTCTCTTTTTGGCCTTCCTTTCTTCTACTGTTTTCCAGCACACATCACTAGATGGCATCCATAACCTTTAAAGACAAATCCACTTGTCTCCAAAACTGTGTATGCTTGATTTTTCTGGGCTAGCTCACAGTTTTGGTGAAGAGAGCTCATAAGGATTTTAAAGAAAGAAAGAAAGAAAGAAAGAAAGAAAGAAAGAAAGAAAGAAAGAAAGAAAGAAAGAAAGAAACTCTTGCTTGGCAGATTGATGGTTTATTTAAAGTCCACTACGTTCATGGATTTTGGCATTTCAGCTTGTTGATGGAGAATGCCACTTTTTACGAAACATTCCCCATAAGTAGAATCTACAGCTGGAAGAAACATCCTTTCTGCCATGTTGGATTGTTATTTACAGGAAATATTTTGGTATTACTGGGGAGGAGGGGGGCCTTTAAACAGAAGGAAAAACATTCAAATACAGCCACCTGCAGTCTAAAGTAGATACAGCCCATTCTACCACTGAAATCCTATGTGTGTAAATACACAGAGCAGTCAAGAATGTAAGTGAAAGCTAACAGAAGCTTGTCAGAAAGGCTTACGCGATGCCAAAAATGTTTGCATCAATACATGAGAGTTCTGATGGTTCATGCTGAATCCAAGACACTGGCTCAAGGCACATCTGTCAACTTATGGAAAGAAGCCCCGATTCAGTGACAGAGCGTATATTTGAAATAGAAAAGGATCTCAGATTCACTCTTTAGCATCTCTAGGAAGAGATGGAGAGCAAATCCTTTTTAAAAGCCAGGTGAATCACTGTCAGCATATACCAGGAAATGACAAACTGGTAAACCCTGAGGCCACTTTTATATCCCTGAGATCCTTCAGTGGCCATGTGAACTGAATGCCAAAAAGCAGAACAAATACCTAGTATTTTAAATGCTAAACAACACAGGAGACCGCAACTCTGAGGCTTCTTGGATAGACGAATCACTCTTTATTGGGCCAAAAAAGGGGGTGGTTTGGGGAATCTGGAAGGTCGGACACCACAAAAATAGCCCCAGGAACCACATATTCATTGTATGTTCCTTGATGTAGACAAGACTGAGCTAAACAGATTGAATCTTGTACAATGCAGTCTCCTAAGCTATGAAATACTGGAGGGCAGCTGTATATGTTAATTTTAAAGCAGCCACTGGAGATTCTTATTATGACATAAGTTGTAGCTCTAGAACAGTGATTCCCAACCTTTTTTTTTGACCAGGGGCCACTTCACCAGGGACCATTTTGACCAAGGACCACTTTGACCAGGGACCAATCTCCAACATTAATACTTAAAGGGTTACAAATCAGTTTTTGGTAAATTTTAGATTTGGTTTGGGGTGCTGATTCAGAAAATTGCATTGGATAGACCATATCAGCTCTAGTTTCTTATACACAACATATGCCATGGTCAGTAACAGGGAAGAAGTAGAAGGCAGTGTGAAAGGAGCAGAAATAAAATAAAATAAAGAGGAAGGAGGCTTGTGGACAAGATTTTCATCCTCACGACCCTCTGGTGGTCCACGGCCCACAGATTAAGAACCATTGCATTAGAAGAAGAGAAATTTAATCCTTCACCTTGTTCTGCTCTCACATTTTAAAGCTAATGCTGGGAAGGATATGTTAATGACCTAATGCTGGGAAGGATATGTTAATATTGTGCTTAGTCCTGCTCTTCTCCTTTGCAGGACAAAAAAAAAGGAGTGGAGACTAGACAATTTAAATAAGAAACCAACTCTGGAGAAAGAGATCGTATTCTACAGTCTTTTGGGAACACCTATAATCACTAACTGGTTGAGTTTCCTAGCCAACACCCCAAGTATCAATGTCTACTGATAAGATTTAAATTCAGCACTGTTTTGAAAGCTTAAGACAAAATAACAAGTGTTCAAGAGAGTGTTTATCAAGCAAGACACTGCCGATCATTGTTCTGTGTGTGGACTATTTGTTGCCTCGAAAGTCATTTATTTACTTTTAATGAGTAACCTGAGAAGTGACTCATGCAATCCAAACCAGGATATAAACTGGTGTCAGAACCATGGAATTTTATTTGCTGCCCTCTTCCGCAATTAATGCTTTCAATAACACCTGACTGCCTTTGGTACAACAGAAGTCTATGTTGGAGTGCATAAATCTTTCCCCTTTCATATGGAAGAAATCATACCTAAGAACCTAAGATAGTAAGAATATGCCACCCAACATGTCAGTAAGGGTTCAGTCACCCAATTCCAGACCTCATAGGGATTATTTTTTGGGGCTATAGTTTCCAGAATTCTGGAATATATAGTCCAAAAAGTATTTTGTTCTGTGCTGTGGGAAAGTCAGTGATGTCTTAACATTTTCAGATATTGGAGCACAATTTACATCCAGACTTGGGAACTCACATTATAGTAGTCTTTCATTTCTTCTTTCATCTTGGGGACATCGAGCAACAAAGACCAGATTTCACCTCTCAACTGTAATGGAATCCCTTTATAAATTCTCCTATGGAACTATATAAAAGCAATTGAGAAAGAAAAGTTAATATAAGAAAACATCAAGCAGAAAAGCTACAGCTTTTTCACTACTTTGTTTTCTCTGTATACTGAGAAAGCCACACCGTAGAAATGAAGCAACAACATTATTAAATTTTAGAGAGTCAATATATGTCCTACTGGTTTTGAGGACATTTTTGGCCCATTTGAAAGATTACTCACCAAGTATGCTATGCACTAAAAATTCAAAAAAATTAGGAACAATGTGAGAACCTGTAAAAAAACGAAGCTATGTTTTAAAGCATAACAGGTTTAAAGTAAGGGACAGGACTGGACAATTGGGTGCAATAATAATAATAATAATAATAATAATAATAATAATAATAATAATACTTTATTTCTACCCCACCACCATCTCCCCAATGGGGACTCGGAGCGGCTTACATGGGGCCAAGCCCGGACATCATAATACAGCAATAAAGTCAAAACATATACAACAGACAACAACATCATTATCAAAGTGACATTAAAAGCYGAAAAAATAATAAAATAAACATTCCAATAAACACAAACACYGTAGTGATAACAATGGGCGGGCCACATATTCAGGATAAAAACAGTTAACAAACTATMATGAAATAAAATAGGAGCAGGATGTTTATATGGGAACAGTTTGTTCCCAAAATCTTTCCATGATCTTTCCTGGTGGTCTCCCATGCATGTACTATTTATTTATCGTGTCAGGAGCAAACCAACAGTTGTARTGCATTTTAAACAAACACACAAACCACAAAGTTTGCAAGCTTGGTAGTTAATTAAATGTCCTTTGACCAGTAGCTGGCCACTTGGAGTGCCTCTGGTGTTACTATAAGAAGGTCCTCCATTGTGCACGTAGCAGGGCTCAGGGTCACCACAAAATGAGGAACTGTATTAAGGAGTTGTGACATTAGGAAGGTTGAGAACCACTGCCTTATGGGTAGATGGGGTCTCACAAAATGCAGTAAAACACAGTTAAATGGTCAATAGAATCCCACTAGAGGTGGTCAGGGCGCAGGCATCCTTGCTTCATAAGGTGGAAACTCTATAGATAGGCTTTACTATGAACCAACTCCACTGCTCAGCACACAATTCCTTTCAACAGCTGAAACTACATTATCATCTACTCTAGTAATCCTTCCCTTCATGCTTTAACCTTATGTCTGTCTTTCAATATATGTATTTGAATGGTCTGTTTTTATCTATCCATATATTTATCTACCTCACCTCAAAGCTTAAGGAGTACTGGGTAATGAATAAATTGATGTTGTTGTCATTGTCTTCATCATTATCTTTGAATTATTGTCTAAAATGTGCTTATTTCACTTGGAATTTATGGGGTACAGTACAGTCTACACCAGTGGTTCTCAACCTGGGGTCCCCAGATGTTTTTGGCCATCAACTCCCAGAAATCCTAATAGCTGGTATACTGGCTGGGATTTCTGAGAGTTGTAGGCCAAAAACATCTGGGGACCCCAGGTTGAGAACCACTGGTCTACACATATTTGTGGTGTTGGTTAACACAGCTGTTCTCAGCCTTTGGTTTTCCAGACATTTGGGACATCAAATCAATTTCTGACCAATGGATACACAGCAACTGAGAGGTGAAGTCCAATAGATCTGAAGGACTAAAGGTTGAGAACCACTAAGCGAACAGAAGTGTGCAAAGAAAAAACTGTCTGCTGTTCAATGCCCTTTCCGCAGCCAGGTAATAGACCTCCTTAAGATTGCTTTTCTACTCATGAGGGAAAATACTCATCCCTTTTCCTACATAGGTGGAAAATACCTAAAGGGAAGAATATTTGACAGGAACAGAGCTCTCGTTGCCACATTCCCCTATACAACACACAGAACCTTAATTCTGATGATTTTATAGCCCTCTGGAGAAGGATTTTAGGTTTCATGGTGGACGCAAGGAAAAGGATTACTCCCTTGTGATCCCATAAAGATAGATGTCTCTGTCATCAGAAACATACCTATGGATCCTGGCCTTTGAATAGAAGCAAAAGGATTAAACTGTCCCATTCTCTCTGCTTCTAGCTAGCAGCAATGTGTAGCTACTTTTTAAAAAGCACCAAGGGAAAAAAGGCCTTCTGTGTAACATCTAATTTGATCCTGGAATGCATACTAATGCAGAACAACGGGAGCACATTTTAGATGAGATCTTATCACAAAACAAATTGTTATTTTTCAAAAGCGGCGGCTGAACCAATCAATAAACGATCAGACACTTAATCTCCTGGCTCTGGATTATTATTTACTAATGAAATTAATTCATTAAGAATTTCACAGTAGTGAAACTTTGCTGCCATTTCAAATGCTGCATGGAAAAGATGAGTAGCAGATTTTGCAAGCTTGCTCTGCGGTTCAATTCCATTACATGGTGTGACTGTTTCCTTTTAACCTTGCAATGGAAATTAAATCCTTCAAAGCCATGCGATATTTTGCATCCATGAACACAAGGACGATTTTGATACCTAAAGTGTCGAAAATAAGAGTTCAATGCAGAAGATTAATTTTTACTATTATGTGATTATCACTTAGGGTGCATCTACACTGCAGAAATAATGCAGTTTCACACCATTTGAACTGTCACAGCTCAAAGATGTGGCATCATGAGAGTTATGGTTTGGTGAGGCATCAGCACTATTTGACAGAGAAGGCTAAAGACCATATAAAACTAAAGCTCTCAGGATCCCATAGCATGAAGTCATGGCAGTTAAAGTGGTGTTAAACTGCAATAATTCTACAGTGTAGCTGCACCCCAACTCTCATCGATTTAGAGTACTGGGACATTTCTCTACCTTATGTGCAACAGAAATAGTAAAAGATCTTGGAGTCCTTGTGGACAAGTTAAACATGAGCCAACAATGTGATGCGGCGGCAAAAAAAGCCAATGGGATTTTGGCCTACATCAATAGGAGTCTAGTGTCTAGGTCCAGGGAACTCATGCTACCCCTCTATTCTGCCTTGGCTAGAGCACACCTGGAATATTGTGTCCAATTCCGGGCACCACAATTCCAGAGAGATATTGACAAGCTGGAATGTGTCCAGAGGAGGGCAACTAAAAAGATCAAGGGTCTGGAGATCCAGTCCTATGAGGAGCAGCTTAAAGAGCTGGGCATATTTAGCCTTAAGAAGAGAAGGCTGAGAGTAGACATGATAGCCATGTATAAATATGTGAGAGGAAGTCACAGGGAGGAGGGGGCAAGCTTGTTTTCTGCTTCCCTGGAGACTAGGATGCGGAACAATGGCTTCAAACTACAAGAAAGGAGATTCCATCTGAACATTAGGAAGAACTTCCTAACTGTGAGAGCCGTTCAGCAGTGGAACTCTCTGTCCCGGAGTGTGGTGGAGGCTACTTCTTTGGAGTCTTTTAAGCAGAGGCTGGATGGTCATCTGTCGGGGTGTTTTGAATGCAATTTTCCTGCTTCTTGGCAGGGGGTTGGACTGGATGGCCCATGAGGTCTCTTCCAACTCTATGATTATATGATTCTATTATTCGAATTGTTCAGGCACAGGGCCAGTCCAGGAGCTTAGATGGGAAAATATGGTATTTTTTCCACCAATGCTTGAAAAAATGATGTTTGTGCACTTCCAATTTCCCTCTCCATAACAGTTCTGGGAATTGGGTGCTGGGATCTTCTTAATGACATGAATGCATGTATATGGATAATATACATGCATTTGTCTTTTTGGATGGAGCAGAAGGTGCTATTGTGTAGCCCTATGACAAGGTCTTAAACCTCACCCACCCTCTGTAGTTATCAGGCCTCAGAAGGGGTTACAGCTACAGAAGTTGATGGAGCTCTGACGAGAAGGGACAAGTGGATGCATACTTCCATTGCCTTCCTCTTTGGGACAAGTCAAGATAGATCTCCACAGGTTTACCCCACACCCTACAGGATAGTCCAGGCAGGGGTAAACTTCAGCCCTCTAGGTATTTTGAACTTCAACTCCAACAATCTACCAGCTGCTAGGAATTGTGGAAGTTGAAGTCCAAAGCAACTGAAGGGCTGAAGTTTGCACATGCCCGGGATAGTCCTTTGTGCTCCATTGAAAGAATAAATAAATACTAGGCTTGGGTAACCACGGAAAAAATTGGTTCTAAACTCGTTTTGTTTTTAGGGGGCCCTTGCGTTTCGTTTTTTTTAATAATTCCGAAATTTTCCTTTAAAAAAATTCGAAATTTACGAAATTTCGTAAAATTACGAATCGATTCATTAATGGCGGACGAGATTGCGCAATATGCTAAAAAAACCTCCAAATGGGACAGGAGGAACTTCTGAAGCTTCCCTCTCCCTCTGTTGTTGACTGTTGGTGTGATAAAACAAACAACAACTATAAAACTTGCACCAGACATGCGAAATAATTACGAAATAATTACGAAATAATTACGAAATAAATTGAAAAAATTGTTTCGAATCTAATTTACTCCTCACACTATTCCTGCATGGCTCAATATTGGATCGTAAGCTAATTTAAATACGAATTAATAACGAATTACGATATTAACGAATGAAACCGCCCAAGCCTAATAAATACCATCCAAAACTGTTTGCACAGGGGATGACACAGAACTGCGTGGTTACAGCAATATGTGCACATGCCTGAGTTAGTAATATGACCATAGTTCAGAGCTCTGCTATTAAAGTGCTACCATAAGGATCTTTCCACCTTGATATATGTATGCACAGAAGCCAGAATTATACAATTCTGCTGTTGAGTCCCCTGCGTACCTGGTCATCTTTGGAGGACAACTACATTTATCTGATGCTTATCAAAAATGGAAGCGGGGATGAATATGATCACAAAAATTTAGAGTTGGAGGAGACTGCTCAAACCTAATATATTCCTAAACAATGCCTGACCAACCTCTAATGACTCCATTCCACTCTTTAAATGTTCTTATAGCACATTCCAGTATCAAATAGTCCTCACTAGAAGCACTTTCTAATGTGCCCTGTTCTCTTGTTTTAGCTCAAGCTAGCTTTGGAACCTGAACACTGAAGATCAGACAACCTGGTCCTGTTGCATACCATCTTTGCAAAATGGGACTCTACAGGTGATTGTTGCGAGGGTGAATGAGGTAAGGAAACAGCATTTCCTACTGTGTACATATGGGGTGAAGACAATTTAAGAGCAGATAAATAGTCTTTGTCTGATGGAATAATTGATCAAGAGAGATGGAGGAAATGGTAATACACCGTGAAAACAGCTGCAGCGGCAGCTGTTGTGCACTCCAGGCGAGAGGATCTTGGGACTTTGGAGAATATGCCAGCTGCGAGTGTGATAAATCCACAGAGCATGGGGGCGAGTGGATGCCATATATTGAAAAATGCAGTTTAAGAAGGCGCAAGGGAAGGAACCAATTAGATTAAACTAGTAGGAAGTAAAATCCATAAAGATGAACAACAATGATTATGTAGATTTTTTAAGAAAAGATGGAAAATAAGAAATATAAATATCACTCATTTTAAAATCTTAGTCGTGCTTTATATTCCCACAAAAGGGTTTGTTTATTTATTTATTTGCAGTATTTATATTCTACCTTTCTCACCTTGAAAGAGACTCAGCTGGTATATCACCAGCAACTATAAGATCAATCAACCTAAAGGTTGCAAGCTGGAAGCCCCAGGTCAGTGTGAGCAGCCAACTGTTAGCGTTGCTCACTGTTTACCTAAGCAGTTCGAAAGAGCTTTAGCTGTAATTAGAAAAATTAGGTACCCCTAAAAGAGGGGAAGGTGTTTGACAACGCCATAAGGAAAGAAGATGAGAAAATGCTGGGTGACCAAAAGGAAGGAGGAAGTCCTGACGGCTCTTCGCCATAGAAGATGGAGCGACAGCACCCTCTGTGGCTGGACCTGAGCCCTACCTTCCATAGCATCGGAACAACACACCTCCTTTCTGTTCTGTCTGTGTACTGTCTATATAAAGCGGCATTTAATATTTGCTGCGTATTTGTACTGTGATCCGGCCTGAGTCCCCTTCGGGGTGAGAAGGGTGAAATATAAATAAAGTGTTGTTGTTGTTATTATTTCACTGCAAGCATTCAATGATGTTTTCTAGACAGACAGACAGAGGTATTTTTGGCATTTCCATTTCGGTGTCTGGAGGTTATGCTCGATTCTGGCAACAGGAGCGAGCTGTCGCTTTCATCCACTATGACGCCGAGTCATTTTGATCGTATTTCCTCCTTGCTCATTGACTGTTGGCATTTTTATGGTCTCGTAAAATTTCTCCCCACTTTAAGCGGTTCCTAATTTCTCTACTCACAGCTCAGCTGTTTTCGAACTGCTTAGGTGGACAGTAAGCTAGGCTTAAGAGTCAGGTGCTCAATCTGACTCGGGCTTCGAACCTGTCACCTTCCGGTCGGCAGTGATCTATTGCAGCTGGTAATCAACCACCTGTGCTACAGCCCAGCCCCGGGCTAAATACTAAGTGACAGTTTTGAGTAGAATCTTTATAATCCCCTTCACTTTGGACAAACCTGTGAAATAATTTTCACATTTCAGGACCCCAGAAAAAATTAATATATTTATAACCTACAAAAAAGTAGGTTTTCCCATTTTTTTTCCCAATCATATCTTACAGAATTGCTAGAAACCTCACCCAGAACCTTAAGGTTCCAGTGAAACCTAGTTGAGAATTCCTGCCACAGTAGACAAAGGAATGTAGCTTTCCCAAATCCATAATTTTGTACAAAAAAACGTACTTGGCTTTTTGGGACCAATTACATATAATATACAAGAATCGTTATGGCACACGCCTTGAGAGTTTTGCTACTTGTGGTGCAATTGGAGAAAATCACTATGTGGGAGTTTTAAGAAATAGTTTGAACCTTAGTTATACATTTTCATTGCATGTAATCTCAAAAATACAGCAGGCAAAATATAACGTAGAGATGCATTTCAGGTGGATTGGGGAGTGCTCCATAGTGGGTTGAAGAAGTGGATCATGAATCCATGGATATGGCGGGTTCACTGTACTTTAAAGTTAGTTTTCTGGCATTTCCCTTCTGAATTTAAAATTAGCTTTTATTGATTCCTAAACTGCAATCATAAGGTGACAGTTTGACATCAACACTCTCCATAAATTCTGCAAAAGATCCATCTACCTCTTCCCTTCTTTTCTTCCTCCTTTCCGTTCAGACAGCTGCTCTATCATCAAGATAGTTAGGAAACAGCAAGTCAGAAACATACCGCTGAAGGCATTTGAATGTGAATACAGCAAATGACATTTTTATTCAAGACATCCTGAATCCCATGACCACAACAGGGCAAACAAAGCTTTACTGCTGGTGGTGATTGACAGTTTGATGTGCCTTGACTTCAATGCAGGGAACAATATAATTAAGATGCAGGTCAAAAGAGGCACCAAGCGGCATATGGAGAAACAGAAGTGGTGATACCTTATTGGAGGAACAAAAACTCCGGAGGAAGCAAGTTAAAGGTTGGAGATAAGAGTTGAGCATCTGTCTCCACCATTTATTTATTCAGATATTGGAATTTGCAAAGCAATTTGAATTCTGAATTGTTCTTGTCCTTTCAAAAATGTTATGGGGGTAAGCCAATGGTTTCCTTGCCCCAGGGTTACGCAAGGCAGGCGGCACCCCACAAGGCTATTTTTGCAGCACCCCCATTGCAAAGCATTCCAAAAACTGTTGTCAAAATCTGGTTGCAAAGGACAACAAGCTATTTATTTACATAAGTGGAGGGTCATCAGTTTGCTGCTGCAATTCTGTCTCTTGGATTGACACAAATTCTATGCTTACTGTACAATTATCAATCAATATTTCCTGAAGAATTATTTTTCTGGAGCTAAGTTGCCAATAGAATCACAAGCTATGAGGAGAGATGGGCAATAAATAAATTATTATTACTATTATTATTCTGACACAAAAACACAGTATGTCACAGCAAATGAGATATATATGCTGGATTTCGTATCACAAAGTTACAAGTCTAACACTTCCCAAGCATCTAGGACTGTGTGATGTATTTTCAAATGATGCGTACAGATCCAAGTAAGGTGGCCTTTTGCAGTTGACAGATTGTAATTTTGTTGATTTTTATTGTTTCCAAATGCTAGCTGAGATCTTTTGGCATGGCACCCAGTGTGCCAATGACCACTGGGACCACCTGTACTGGTTTATGCCAGAGCCTTTGCAGTTCAATTTTAAGGTCATAATAACGGCTGTGTTTTTCGTGTTGTTTTTCCTCAATGCGACTGTCACCCAGTATGGCGACATCAATAATACAAACTTTTTTCTTTTCCACAATCGTGATGTCTGGTGTATTGTGTTCCAAAACTTTGTCAGTCTGGATTTGAAAGTCCAACAGTATTTTTGCATGTTCAGTTTCCACTACTTTTGCAGGTTTATGATCCCACCAATTCTTTACTGTTGGTAGGTGGTACTTGTAACATAAGTTCCAGTGAATCATTTGGGCCACAGAGTTGTGCCTTTGTTTGTAGTCCGTCTGTGCGATTTTCATGCAACAGCTGAGGATATGATCCATGGTTTCATCAGCTTCCTTGCATTTTGGGTCATCCGCTGATTTTTCAATCCTGGCCTTAATGGAATTGGTTCTGATGGCTTGCTCCTGGGCTGCAAGAATCAGACCTTCTGTCTCCTTCTTCAGAGTTCCATTCGTGAGCCATAATCGGGTCTTCTCCTTATCAACTTTTCCTTCAATTTTGTCAAGGAAATTTTTATTATTATTATTATTATTATTATTATTATTGTTATTATTATTGGAAGTTTTCCAAAAACTAAATTCTTTGTATATTTGCTATTTAACAAAGGCCATGATGTATAAAAGTGAAAGCCTGATACTCCAGTACGTAATTCATTATTGCTGCATTCAGCAATTGCAACTGCCTTGCAGAAACATTTAACTTTACCTTTTCAGTGTTCTTATATTTCTCCCAGCTCTTCAACATCTTCAGCCATTTTGAAGTTCTTTCAATTTCAAGCTGCTTTTGCTGAAATAAAATTAGAGCCCATTATTCTCTTTATCCTCCTTGTACCACAAAGAATTTTTAGGCATTTACAAACATTTATGAATATACACAACCAGCCATTTAATATCACCAAAAATGCTGGTAAGTATTTTAATTCAAATGCAAATTTTAAAGGAATGATTTCTTTTCTGTTCCCTTTCTTTAGATGTTTTTTTTTCCACTCTTCAAGTTTGGCCAATTTAAATGGTGTATGGGAGGAAAAAGCAGTTTAGCATGTGAATTAGCAAATAAACCTTGTTCATGCATCAAAACTGAAAAGAAGTTGAAGTGATACTACTTTAAATAAGAGTACAATGCTTTCGTTTTGCATCTGGAGTCTACCTTATCTAGTGAAAATGTCAGACTCTGCATCCAAAACCCCAGAGAGAAATAAGGATTTTGGAGTCTACAACTCAAAGGTAGGAAGAGTATATTCAAGCAGCAAAGCAGTTTCCAAACCCTGCCAAATCCTTCCACTGAGAGACCAGATGAGATTTTGGTGAACCTAAATGCAAACTGAGGCTGAACCTCTCTATTTGGAAAGATGAAGCAAGACAAGGAAACGTTGAGCTCCCCGAAGGAACACATAATAATAATAATAATAATAATAATAATAATAATAATAATAACAACAACAATACTTGTCATTCTTGTTGTTGTTGTTGTTGTTAATAATAATAATAATAATAATAATAATAATAATAATAATAATAATAATAATAATAATAATATTCTGCCCTATCTCCCCGGAGGGACACAGGATAGATTCCAAACATAAAAGGCAAGCATTCAGTGCCCGAGCACAACAACAATACATCCATAATAACGAAATCTGGAATGACTTTATATAGTGGACCCTTTTTTCCCACCCTAACTTCAATGAAGGAGAAAAAAACAGGGTTCAGCCTTGTCAAGGTGGACTTGGGGCTGATCAAATGACATTTCGGCTTGACCTGGTAAGAACTTCAAAAAGGATAGACCTTGCACCTTCAGTTCTGGAATGAATTTCCCTATCAGGGAGCAGCAGAAAGAACAGTGGTAGTGCGCATGCCACAAAAAGACTTCAGGGAAGGTTTTGTGGCAGGCAGTGGTTGACTTTTTCCCCCAAAAAACTTTCCCCAAAAACCTCTCTAGAGGGGCATAGGACATTTCTGCCAACTTTTGGAATCCCCCTGCCAGCCCTTTTAAGACAGGAGGTGCCTTTTTAAGAAACAGAAAGTGACTTCTAGTAACTGCCTGTTAGAAAATGGCTACTTGTAGCCTAATATGCCCATTGGGCATTTGGAAACAAAATTGTGTTGTTGTTGTTGTTGTTGTTGTTGTTAGGGGCTGTGGCCTTCTAAGGTCTCCTGAAAGCTAATGCATCATCATAGCCTCCTACTCCTGCTCTCTAGGTGAGAACATTATAATCCTACAGACCTTCCCAGATAGGACTCCTTAACACCTGCCGATGTCAGCAATATGTTCTAACTTAAGTAAGCTTGGAAATACACAAAACTTATAGCAGCTGCCATATTTTTAATAGATTGTGCTGGTCAATCTTGTAAAAATAAAAATGAGAATTATGGACTCTTGTTTTTCTGCCACACCCTTGGGAAATGTGCAATTTCAGCTCAAATACCGCTGTAGAGACTAATCATAGGACTGCACTGCAAGGAAAGAGATGCTAAGTGACAACAGGTCTTTACTGTAGAGACTTCATTACAATAATTTGAGAACACACCACAATGCCTTAATATAGACACACCAAACAGACTATAATCTTTTCCCCTGGTAATAAACACCTACGGAATCTTTGAATTCATTCATCATGTTAGGTTCTAGCAAGGTCCACCCAAGTCTGCAAAACTTCTGCAAAGCTGTGTAATAAGGGCTTTCTTCACAACTCTACAATTTGCTAGTTACTTTTGATTACGTTAAGAAGAGACTCTAGTCAGTAGATAACATACACTTGAGTTGTACAAGAGAAATGCAGTAAAACATAGTAATCCATATCTGTACTAGTAAGAACAATATTTTTTATTAATTAGCCATTAGGCCATATCACAATACCAAACCAAACAACAAGGCCTGGTAAGACTCTATGTAATAAATTAAAATAAGAGACTTATAACAATACAGTAAATAAATATGATAAAGTATGATAAAACTGAGTATATACATCGTATTTTCTTATCAACCCTACAATTTACTCTCAACCAGCCCGACATATGTGGTTCTCAAACGTATTGTTTTGCTTAAATATAGAGCTGTTTTATACCGTATCTGTACTAGTTTATTCCATAACTGAATAATAAAATCATAAATCCTGAACAACATATTGTTGGAATATTAATTTTGAAGGATTTGTTTCCCAAACACTTGGGAGTCCCAAGAAGTTGAAAATGAAGAAATACCTGCACTGCAAACTCAGGTAAGTATGTATTCTCTCAAAAGAGTTTAAAACATCTAATATCTTTCTCATATTTGAAATGGATCCTACTGATTCTAAGGAAAATATAAAGAAGAAAATAAAAAATGAAAAGAAACACAACAAGAGGAAATTGAAGTGAAAGCGGAACAATATTTTCATAAGGATATCTAAATGGAATTTAGGATTTCCAGCACTTCCCAAAATTCAGTTTTAAAATTCTATAGTATTTCTTTTAAAATAAACTACCAACATTTATTACTCAAACAATGATAACAAAACTATCTTCTAATCCAGTATCAGGACCCCAAAAACTATCAGAAAACACAGTATTTTCTGTTGGTCATAGGGGTTCTGTGTGGGTAATTTGGCCCAATTTTCTCATTGGTGGGATTCAGAGTCCTCTTTGATTGTAGGTGAACTATAAATCTCAGCAACTACAACTCCTAAATGCCATGTCTATTTTCCCCAAACTCCGCCAGTGTTCACATTTGGGCATATTGAGTATTTGTGCCAAGTCTAGCCCAGATCCATCATTGTTTGAGTGCACAGTGTTCTCTGGATGTAGGTGAACTACAACTCCAAAACTCAAGGTCAATGCCCACCAAACCCTTCCAGTATTTTCTGTTGGTCATGGGAGTTCTGGTGCCAAGTTTGGTTCAATTCCATTGGTGGTGGAGTTTAGAATGCTCTTTGATTGTAGGTGAACTATAAATCCCAGCAACTCTAACTCCCAAATGACAAAATCAACACCCACACCCCCAACCCCACCAGTATTCAAATTTGGGCGCATTGGATCTTTGTGCCAAATTTGGTCCAGTGAATGCAAATACGCCATGCGTATCAGGTATTTACATTATGATTCATAACAGTAGCAAAGTAACAGTGATGAAGTAGCAACGAAAATAATTTCATACTTGGGGGCTCATCACAACATGAAGAACGGTATTAAGGGGTCGCGGCATTAGAAGGTTGAGAACCACTATTCTAATCTTTCATTCTGTGCAGGAAAAGTGTAAGGAGCCTTTTAATCCCTACATAAGAACAAAACCATTCTGAGGTCATTTATAATTGACCTCATCTTGAACTAGCCAGCATCTCTAGTGTAATTTAAAGAAGATTAGTTAAGGAAGCTCAGCCAACAACCTTGGAAGGAACCTGCTTTACTCTTCCACTTTGCCAGACTAGCAGGGCTCAGCGTATTTGGTAAGTGACCTTTCAAGTTGATCTTAAGAGTGTTAACAGCTCTGTGTAGAGCCCTCAGACTCTGTTCTTTGGACAGGCAATATCACATAAGTATTACGCATAAAATAAAAAAAGACCATACAGCACCTAAGTGACGCAAAAACTAGAACTTAAGATATAGGTTTACTGGGCACAACTGGTGTGCACAAAACTTGCATGACACCAGCCTCAACTGAAGCTCAGCAGAACGCAATGCATCATGCAATTTGTGACATGTACAACATGGAATATGCTGTTGGGACAAAACATTATATGCTTTTTTGGTATCCAAACGGCCATGCATACTGAGAGTCACCGGTGCTACCATCACAAATCCAACGAAATAATTCTTCTAAAACAGTCATCATTAGAGCTCCTATTGCTCAAAAAGTCCATAAACAAATATAGAAAGCGTATTTTAGAAAACTCACAGGAGTAGAAATAACTAGGCGGGCCAATGTTTCAACAAGGTATAAGACTACTTTATGTTTTCTAAATTCAACATCCAATATCCAACATCTAATTAAATAACCTTGAGTGGGATGCCTTTCATCTTAAGAGAGCCATTTCCAACAGTGTGGGAGAGAGAACCATGTTCTGAGTATGAAGGAACTTCCAAGTGATTAGTTGTCTAACTTAAAGGAACTCAACACATCTACACCACTTAGCTTCAGCACACAACACTGAGTTCAAAAGACATTCTTTGATAGTTTACATGACAATTTTACAACTTACCTTCTCTGATGCTGCATCATGGACAGGCAATTCCTCTTGGCTAAAAAAGAAAAGGGAAGGGAAGAAAAGGAAAGGAAATGATTTCACTAGGATTGGAAAAATCATTTTCTAATATATCACTACTAATAAGGAATCTGAAATGGAGAATTAAAGTATTATGGCACAATGATATAAAAGATAATAGGGAATTTAGAATATTTGAATATTCATAGGGTGGCTAGCACACTTATTGCAGTGGGAAATTATGAGCAAACCAATGCAGAACTGAGCTATTTGTACTGGCCAAAATAATAAAAGCAACCCTAATCAGAAAAGTTCACAGGTTAAAAAGAGAGGAAACAGTACTGAAATAAAACAGTCTGGTGTAAAATGGTAAGGCCCATACTTGAGCTGCAGCAGCTCACAGGCTGCCAGTAAAGCTGTAGAGACCTCAGGTTCACCAGATCCATCCTGCTCCCTAGGAGATTCTGGAGAGCAGTACAGTACATTGTCCCCAGAACCACAGGAGCTGGAACAGGATCTTGAATGCAAGGCCTCACCAGGCAAAGAGAGGACAGCAGCAACTGGTGGGGTGGAAAGAGCAAAGGATGGGTTTCCACTTGCTTACTCATGGGCAATCTTCCCTCTTACACCTCTGAGTGCCCCAGAAGAGAAAGCAATGTGTGGGGATTGTGGTAAATGAAGGAAGAGGTCAATGGAGTGACACCATGTGCCTAGTGTTGTTTGAGAGGATTCCAGAAGATTCAGCCATGGCAGTAATGTCTGTGCCATGCCCTCTGATGGTGCCACACAACGCAATTTGCACCCCTCCTAGTGATGCCACTAGTGAAGGACTTTTCTGAATGCCTACTCAGGAAAATGGTGGCAATGCCAGTCAGAGATGGTTGGTCCTGAAACAGTGCTGGTGCTTTCCACTCTCTTCAGAATGACCTTTGAGTTATTCAGGGGACATACCCATAATTTTGCCTCAAATTTTGCCCTTGACATATACATGTTGGTGTGTGCGTGAGTATATACATCAGAGTTTTCAAAACTAGGTGTCACAACATGCTAGTGTTGGTTGCAGTGTTCAGATGTGTTGCACTCAGTCTGAGAAGTGACAGAGACCCAGAGCGGCGGAAGATCCATCTCCTGAATCTCGCCAGCTTAAAGGCATCCCTCCTTTCTTCTCTGCATAAGGAACCTCATTTCTCCACTCACACCTTCCTGTTCAATTCAACTCAGCATCTCTTCCACATCTTCCTATCCCTCAAGTCCTGCCTTCTTCAGTTGCTTGTTTGCCCGCCATGGGTGCCACCTTCCCCTGAGTGGGGGGCAAATTCAGCAAAAGCATGGTCTGGACTATGTGCCCATCACCCATTCCTCCCTTGCTGTCAGGTTCGCCAAGGAAGGACCGTGTCATCATTATGACAGCATTTCTGGCATTTCTTCTGAAGCAAAGAAGAAACAGAAAGATAAAAGTACTGTTGGTATCAAGGGGAAAGCCTTGATTTTTTAGATTTAATCAGAGAATTAAATTTTTAGATTTAATCAGCCAGAGAATGCAAATATTAAAACCTACATAGTTTTGACGACAGCGAGAAGAGTGTTAACTTAATTCCTCTCCATCTCATCCTGATCTGTGCACTTCTTCCTACACCAAACTCCCACATGATTTGTGTGTTTTCAGGCAAACCCTGCTTACATAAACGAATAACGTCAAATTAACATCAATTATTGCACAAGGTACAAGAGGAAGTTCAACATCCTCCTATATCCTTCCACACAAAGGCTGTCATAGAATGATAGAGTTGGAAGAAACCACATCTAATCCAACCCCCTGCTATGCAGGAAAAGAAATATCAAAGTATCCCTTAGAGATGGCCATTCAGCCTCAGTTTAAAAGTTTCCAAGAAAGGAAGGAGCTGTCATTGATATCAAGGAGAGACTTCCAAGACCCCGCCTGTCTACATCATCAACAGCTCTGCTCAGATCTTCCTAACTCAGGGCCATGATTTCTTTGATTGAAATGATCTAGCTGTACTATTCCTCCCTTTTTTCATGTCAGAAGCTACTTCAGAAACTGCAAGTCACTTGTGGTGTGAAAGAATTGGCCATCTGCAAGGACATTGCCCAGGGGATGCCCAGATGTTTTGATGTTTTACCATCCTTGTGGGAGGCTTCTCTCATGTCCCTGCATGGAGAGCTGGAGTTGATAGAGGGAACTCATCCACACTCTCCCCGGATTTGAATCTCCAACCTGTCAGTCTTCAGTCCTGCCAGCACAAGGGTTTAACCCATTACACCACCAGGGGATCCTCCTGACCTACTGTCATTCACTTTTCCAAATATTATTGGCTTTAACAATGAGTCACACTATATCCTGATGCTTAGTCATGTGAATGTTCAGACCTGACTTGCTTTTGGATTCATTTATATGCCTTTTAAGCTGTGTATAGTATCCATAGAACTCTCATCCAGCATCAAATTTCAAAAGAAGCTTCTTTTCTTCCTGACAGCTTGTCCAGCTTTCATAACCATATATAGATATTGGATATTCCATAATAAAACAAGCTAGAAAAAGGGAAGATCCAAGAGCCTAGAAAGAGGTTGCCAATCAGAAAAGGAGTAGATAAGACAACAGTCTAAGATAACTTTACACATATTTTTCTGCAAGGATTAAAAGGGATTATGTATTATAATTGTGTGTCATTACAAACAGATAGCAAGTATTCTTGTAATCATCTATCTCAGGGGCTTTCTCCTTTTTGTTTTGCAAGATTCATATCTGGAGGTGCAAGAAACAATCATGTTGTGACTTTTCATATCCGCTCAGCATGAAAAAAAGAGGGATGAACTTTTGTGTATAGCTTTAAATAAAGGTCTAATAGTTATTTACAATCAAAAAATGTAAAACAATAAAAGGAGAATCTCCTTTGTGTTGTTAAACACAAGATACCCCCACCCCAGAGATTTATAGTTTTCTAAAGAATGAGATAATGCAGTGTCCTCTCTTTTGCATCAAGTCTCCTGAGCCCCACCACCCTTGCTTCTCTCCTCTATCCTCTTAGCAATGACCTGTATTTTATTCCACTTTATTCATATAAGCTATAAAACATACCCTATTTTTCTTTCGAGACATTTGAGACCTCGGTCAAGAGGCAAACTATCCAGTTATTGTGCCATGGTGTGACTAGCCCCAGGTGTGACTCTGAGACAGACTTTGGCCATTTCAACATTCTTTATTTGGTTGGCCTGGGAAAGACATTTACATAATCTTAGCATCCCCATGCCCAGAAATCCAAAGACACAACCAAAATTAGCAGCTACCATATTTACATCTATTACTTTCTGTAAAACTTTTATCCTTTTATATAATGTATCTCTTATTTATTTATTTATTTATTTATTTGCTATATTTGTATGCCGCCCTTCTCAGCCCTTAGGCGACTATTTCCCAAGTCTGAAATGTATAAACAGTACTTTTAGTCTACCTAATGTTAAATGCATTAAATATAAGAAAAAATAGAAACAAAATAAAATATAAATAAATATCTCAACTGCCTGACTCAAGCCAAGGGCCATCACTCAGGAATGCCTCTCAGCCTCAGGAAAAGAATATAACAAAAGTCTATTATTCTGTAGACTGTATTTCTCAACAGCCCAACTACAGCCACCTCAACAGGCATCTTTGTTTATCCCAGTGATTCTCAACCTGTGGGTCCCCAGATATTTTGGCCTTCAACTCCCAGAAATCCTAAAAGARGGTAAACTGGCTGGGATTTCTGGGAGTTGTAGGCCAAAACACCTGGGGACAGGTTAAGAACCACCGATAACCTAAACCATGACTACAGAAATAAGATTCCATTGTTCTCAGGAGCCGGGGTTTCATAATCCCACCATCCCCACCCTGGACCCCTGKTGGCCTGGAATGCCAGCTCCTCTTGAAGACTCCTCCTACCTGGCTGGGAGGGGATCTCCAGCCACATCACCGGAGCTCAGCCAATCAGACAGGGGAGGGAAAATTCAAACTTGACCAATGTTATAAAACTGATATGACGCTTTTGAACTGTAATGCTGGAGAAAAATTCTGAGAGTGCCTTGGACCACGAGAAGATCAAACCAGTCCACACTTCAGGAAATAAAGCCCAACTGCTCATTGGAGGGAAGGATAGTAGAGGCAAAGGTGAAGTACTTTGGCCACATCATGAGAAGACAGGAAAGCTTAGAGAAGACAATGATGCTTGGGAAAATGGAAGGATAAAGGAAGAGGGGCTCTCCAAGGGCAAGATGGATGGATGGTATCCTTGAAGTGACTGACTTGACTCTGAAGGAGCTGGGGGTGGTGTCGGCCAACAGGGAGCTCCGGCATAGGCTGGTCCAAGAGGTCTTGAAGAGTCGGAAGTGACTGAATGAATAAACATCAACACCATAAAACTGGTTACACAACTCCATGTTTCTTATGCTTGTACTTTTGGGAAGAAGCTCACATGCATCCATTCTTGGCCAAGAATGCATTAAAATGTCTTTGTCGTTTGTCTTCACTTCCTGGTGAGTCTTTAATCTGGAACTGGTTATTAATTATGATTACCAATGCTTGCCAGGCAGACCCTCTCATTTTATTGTGGTTCAAATTCCATATCATCTGCTGTGCTAGTTTTTGTCTTTACAATAAAGCTTATTCTTATTAAGTATTTTTTTTACTTAGATGTATAATTTAAAAGTTTTACCCAAGTATAATTCATTTATAAATAACTCTAACAATCCAGATTTCTATCACTGTATTCTCCTTCAATTATACCACAGGTTTACGACTTATTTATATGTCACTTGTGGCACTTTGCGTTAAGATTTCTCATATTCAGAGTCTTGCCAAGACATGCAAAATTTGAGAAATACTTTTTCCATTTTAAAATCTCAGCCAGGGTTTATTATTTAGTAGTGATAAGCCTCGATCCTAGCTAATCATATAATGACAGAGCTTAACTCAAAAGAGGAATAAAGCAATTTTAGAAGTCTAGGCTCTTTGCAAATATTATCTCCCTAAAACTATCCTTTCAA